ATATAAATTAATGAAATATTTTTCATGTACTGAGTGAAGCCTTCAATTCTCTCATCAATATTATCTCTGCATATTTCTTTTGATAGAAAATAATGTATCTACATTCAAAAATAAAAAGGTAAGAAGAAGAATATAAAGACTAGAAAGATACAACTTCTAAAACAGAGAATGTTTATATAAGTTAACCACAAGAATCACCATGCAGTATCACACACCATAAGGTTGTAAAGAATGAGCATATTTCCCATTAAAAACAAATAAAATCTATAAAATTTTTGCCTTAAGAAGAGACTTAAACATGAAAAGGATTAAAGGTACGAGAACACACTTGACCAGGTTTCTTTTTGATTTGGTATTCCCAGAATTTAACGTCATGATCTGCACTTCCAGTGACAAAACCATTTTCATTTGGAATGGCAGCAATGGATCTGACAGAGCCGCCATGAGCATCTACTGCTTCAATGCAAGTGCCGCTCCCGATGTCAATAATTTCTAATTTTCCACTCTTGGTTCCAACAAGAGCATACTTTTTATGAGGAACAATTAAACCACATAATCCATACCCAGAATCAATAGTTTGAAGACAAGCACCAGTACTTGGATTCCATATCTTTACGGCATTGTGACTGGTTGACATCAAAAGAGTGTTGTCAGCACTTAGGGTAACACTCCTGACATCAGAACGGTGTCCCTCGAGTTCAATAGCAAGTGATTTTTTATTTGCATTGCTTTCGATGGTGTAAAACTCCAATAAGTTACTGTTCAAAGACAATGCTAAAGTAGCTAGTGAATTCTTGGGAGTAATTGGACAAAAGGAAATGGAACAAACTTTTTTGCTAGCTCGAACAGTTTGAAGAAGCTTAAAAACATCAGGGACTGTAACCACAGGAATGCTTCCAGCTTCTTCAGTTCCAAGACTTGCATCTCCATTTTCAGTTTCTTCAACTGCTCCCTTTGCAGATTTCTTCTCCTTTCTGTGAAGCCTACGTTTTGCTTTACGCTTTGCCTCAGCTTCATCAAGTACCCGGAATATCTCAACCGTCTTCCCTGCCACTTGACAAGCCAGCAAATTTCCTGAATTATTGAACCTAACAGTTGCAACTCTATCCTTGCTTTGTCGCTGAATTTCACCAAACTGCAGCAAAACTTCCCATTTATTTTGAGTTGACAAGTCTCCATTACTCTCACTTTTGTTTTCATTTGTATTAGAAATGGAAGATCCACCCAGCAAGTGATCTTTAACAGTGTAAAACCGAAGTTCCAGGTCCGCCGAGCCACTGACCAGAAATCTTTCTCCAGGGTCCACATCTATGGACCAAATCTCGCTATGATGACCGCTAATTATTTGCATACAATGCTGGGTTTCAAGATCCCACACTCTCAAGAATTTGTCTTTGGAGGAGGAAACAAGCTTTTTACCAGATTCCAAGAAAACAAGATCCGTAACCTACAATGCATACCCAAAAAAAAAAAAAACAGATTTCCCATTGTATGAGCCGGCCAGTATTTCAAATTCCTGCCTATTAGATAGAGCTCTAAAACAAACCTGGTCTCGATGCCCACGAAGACGAAAAAGGCCAGTCTCACCAACAACGTCCCATAATATAATATCATTGTCTTTGCCTCCAGATGCAAGAAGAGAACCAAGCTTATTGTACCTTAGCGCAGTCACAGCTCCCTTATGCCCATTCAACGTGGTCTCACAGGTTCCTTTGTCAAAATCCCAAATTCTTATACTACCATCCGCATACCCACTGGCCACCTGCAATTATATCTAGTTTAATATTCGTTCATATCTAACTTAATATTATCATATATTATAAGAAACAAAAAAAAAATGAAGGGAAAATTAATAATACGGAAAATCATAAAGGAAATTTAAAGTTCATTCTTTGAACTTCTAATAAATGGAACTTTGGTTCAAACATTCAAATTTTCCTTCCTCACTTTCTCGCAGCAAATGTCTTTCTTCATATTTAGCTTGATGTAATTCACCATCCTTTCTCTAAAGGCTACATTTCGTTAAACTATCAAATTGCTCATGTTTCCTCCGTCTTCCGACGTAGTATACAAAGGAGAGAAGCCTAACAGAACCAAAATTTTCCTTCCAAAATTCGAATACGAATTTCAGTTTCCCATTAAATGTATTCCTTTTCCGGCGTATTCGCAGCAATAGCACAGGCGACAAGACGAGAAAGAATTTGTACTTTAAGTGGAGAAAAAGATACCAGAGAAGGAAAGGAGGCTATCGAGGTGACAGCAGGAGAGTGAGCTCGCGCGGAAGGAGAAGGAGTTAGGAATTTGGTGCAGACGCCTTGCCGGACGTGCCACACGCCGACCTTCTCGAGCGCCGGAGCTAGCAGATACTTTCCGGTGGAGTCGTATGTGATGTCGGACTCCACCGATACTATAACGCCGAAAGCAGCCGCCGGCTCGTACCTTAGGTACGCCTTCACCATTGCAACTCTTTAACTGGTTTACCTTCTGTTCTCGCGCTCTAATGGTGCTCACAGCTTGTTGAATTGCAGGAGGGTTTAGGGTTTTGGCAAAAAAGGAACGTAGGTTTTGGGTTTAGCAAATTTGTACTCATCGGCTTTTCACGGGCCGGCCCAACATGTCTGTGTATATAATGAAAATCAATAAAAATACTACAGTAAGTTTTTTTTTATTTTTTGTGCAAGTGCAACTTAATATATATATATATATATATATATATATATACATAATTTTTTCGTGCTAATCAAAATCTGAACAGTGAAAAAGCACCCAAAAATTCCAGTGTAAAATAATACAGTGAAATTTTTTTACCAAACTTGAGTTTGTAACTAATTAAAATAATCAAAATTTTCAATCATAAAATGTTAATATCTTAAAGGAAAATAATTATAAACACCTCTTAGGGTATTTTCCTATTAATATTTGAATTTCAATATCTGATTTGTCCCTAATACCATCAAAAACAAATCATTTAGACTAAAAACTAAAAGTTATGAAAAAATTTCTTGTGATCTCATAGTTAGTGATATGGGTTCAAAATTTACAGTAAAATTATGTTATATATTATTACCAAATATATACATATATAGACGTGGGTGTGTGTGTGTACATGACAATATATAATAACTATGATCTTACAAATTGTAATGGGGATGAGTGTTGTCCCACTAGTTTTATTGCTCGTTGGTTTGAAGCAGAATATCACTAGCAACCCTTCTTCAGCATAATTATGTAGTTAGGTGGAAATTATGAGTAGTGAGAGAAACAGATTTAAAATCTTAATTTCAATTTTTATTTAATGAAAATAATATATGTTACGTTGTATTTAAAATATATATTAATGACGGTGTTTAATTATTTTTCTGATTTCATTTCTTAATTCAATCATTAAATATTAATTTTAAGTAGTATTAAAATTTAGAAATAAAATATTTAAATCATATTGGGTTAATTATTTAATCTTTTTCGAGCTGGACAGCTAAAATCACCCAATTTTTCTTTTAACAAAATATAAAACAGGAAAACAAAAATAAAAAAAATTCATGAAGTTTCTTTCTCTGTATATAATTCTGCATGTGCATGGAATTTCTTCCTAAGCAATATGCATCCCGATCCTTAACTCTTTGCCGAGTCATTGTAGTCAAAGAAAAGAGAGAGCTAGCTTTACCTCTAACTCCAAGCAAAATGTTTATTTCATTCGGTCCATTTAATAGAACATTAATCTTCTTCACTTCGCTTTAACCTTAATTATAGGCAAAATAATTATCTCGTTAGATCTATTTAATCGAACATTTGCTTCAATTTACCCTTAATTATAATTTTATGCAAAATAATTCTCTTTGGGTCCGTTTAATCGAACATTAATTTTTTTTCTTCGATTTACTCTTAATTTTAAGTAAAATAATTATCTCATTCGATCTGTTTAATCGATCATTGACCTTTTTTGCAATGCTTTACCTATAATTTTAAGTAAAATAATCATTTCGTTGGGTCTCTTTAATAAAGCATTTATTATTTTTTGCTTCGTTGATTTTTTTTATAAAAAATATCAATAATTAAATTATAATAAATGTTAAATTTTAAAAATTAACTTAATAATTTGTTATTCTAAAATTTATTTTACCAAATAAATATTTTTAATGCCAAATTTTTCGTATTTTGATTGATCCTATGTAAAGTTTTTTTACTATACATGTAAAAATCATCTAAAGAGTAACGTTCCAATCATCTTATATAATTACGTACTTTAAATATTTTAATTATTATTTTAGATTACTAAAGAGATGATATTTATATAATAAAATAAAATATTATATACAATATATTTACCGGTTATATTAAGTTAATAAAAATATTTTTATAAATTATTTTAAATATTAAATTAATCATAAAAAATGCAAAAGCTGAAATTTACATGTCTGGTTGCCGCCAACTCTACTTGATCTCAAATGCAATGATCGAGGAAGTGATAACACAGTAGACAATGATATATAAGATGAACAAGAAAGCGTGTTTGGGATCATTTGCAGGGTGTCGTCGCTTCACTTTATATATATATATATATATATATATATATGCATATGAAAAAATTTCAAGATACGACAGAGATCATGCAGATCCGACCCGACAACATTATACCGTCGTTGAAGTTAATAAGATCTGAAATCTTGGTGCGTGCATGTGTAAAATGCAATGCATACTGTGACAATATATATATATATATATGTATGTATGTACAGGCGACGCATATTGATGAAATGGGTTGTCTTTTGCGGTCGGTATACATGATTTCAACCGCATATATATTACATATATAACTATGCATATATAATACGTGTGGCCAAAATTATATGATGATCTGCAGGTGTATAGATCATGATCACTTCGCCATACATATATTGCGTATACGTGTGGCCAATGGACATCATATGTTTTCTCCGGTGTCATTAAATCAAGAATGGGGTGACGTGGGTACCATGTGGTTTATCAAAAGCATGGTGCACTCTGGTTTCCCATTTTCTTTTGACAGAAAAATCTAGATATCATACATAATTATTTTTTGAAAAAATTATTTAGCACGATCATATTGTATATAGCATGATAGATATAGATATATATATATATATATACATAGATACATACAGATAGAGATACCCAATGCAGCCACCGCCACATTTTTGTTATATGTATTATATATAGTCTATATACTGTACCAGACTACTTGCACTCATTGGAGACAAAAGTCAAAAGCTTTTATACAAAAACAGAAGATGGTCATTTTATAATATACAAAAACAGAAGATGGTCATTATATAATATACGTGTGTGTGTGTGTCACCAATATAATAATACAATATATATTATAGAAACATTGGACACCAAGTAAATATATTTTCTGTGTTTGATATTTCTGATGTGGTCCTCTAGCAAATAGAAATCGTTGTCGTTCTAAAAAAGAATGCCGACATAACAATTGGATTTGAGGTTGTAGTTGTCTTCTTCACTTCAGTATTATTAAAGGAAAATATCTATATATATATGTATGATAAAATATAATTTAAATATAAATTAAATTGAATTTTACATATAATGCATTTATATCGATATAATAATTTTATACATTATAAAAATCTAAATATAATAAAACTATAATATGTTTCTAACCCATTTAACTAATCATTTTTTTTTTCTCAAAAATTTTATAGATTCGTCGGGCGGATAAATAAATTATAAGAAACTAATCAAAGAAATTGTATAAAAGAGTACGTAAAAACAAACGGATTACATATATTAGTTTTATTAAAAGAAAAAAAGAAAAGAAAACAAACATAAACAAAACGTCATCGTATTAGTTTATATTGTGAATGGAAAAAGTCATCAAACAAGTTGTGCTAATTGTCTTATCACTCACTACCAATAGGAAGTTGGCTGCTGGGTAGCTTGGCAACGGCGGATCTTTACCTAATTCACCCTCTAAATATAATCACGTAGCTTAAAATTTTCATATTTTTTATACACTATAGTAAAAATACGTTGATTATCATTTAAATATTAGAAAATGAAAGCATATATTATGACTAAATTAAGTGAAAACAACCAAAAAATGATAATTATAATTACTATAAGTCGGCTGTGGGAATTATGGTCGGTTGCCGGCAAGAGGCAAGTAGACAATTGGCTTTGATAGACAAGTTGGAAGAAAATTTGTATAATGACAAACCAGCTTTATTAATTACGATTAATATGCAAATTAATCTTATTTATTAACATTAATCAACAACATAATTGAATTAATGTTTAATTGGAGAAGTAGAAAATTATGGTACGTCTCAATTTCTGTCTTTTTTCTGTACTACCAGACGATGATAAATATTGATAATTAAGAGGATGAGAGTGGGAACAAGGTAGAAAGGTTGGTGGTTTTGGTCACTGTATGACCACCCACCCCTGTCTTAGTCCTAGCCATACCCACCAATTAAATTTTGTTTTTCGTCTGTTTATATGTGTGTATATACATACACACACACACACACACACATATATATATATATCTCGTGTTACTTTCAAATAATAATTAAGTTTGTAATTCGACAAAGTGGCAGCATGAAAATGAGAATTAGTTTTTTTTTATTAGAAAAAAAAAATTATTAAGCAAATTATATGAATTTTTTTTTTACATCCCTTAATTATTGGTCACACTTTAGAGGACGCTCAACGACGCGTTAAAAG